CGAAAGTTTTTAGGTTGATTTAAATTGCTTTGGATGAATATTGCTTTATTGTTGAATTGATGATGTTGTTTTCGTGCTCCCAGAATGCTTGGATGCCACCTTTATCCCGTCGCCGCCATCACTCGCCGTCACGCGCCATCGCTTGCGCGTGGGGCTTGTCCCCCAGCTCTGGTTTCTTCTAGAAATGGTCCAGGTGGACCAAACCGGCCCAACCCAGTCTGAATCGGGTTTGTTTGACCCGACCGAGTCAACCCAAACCGGTCAAGTTGAGTCAACTCGTTCGAGTCAGCCCGTTGACTTTGACCGTTGACTTTGACCATAAAGTCAAAATTTTCAATAAGTCATATTTATTTTTTTCAGCATCTTGAGTTTGAATCTGAAGTCTGTTTTGCCAAATTCAAACTCGGTAAGTTATTTTTCAGTGTTTTATCTTCGAGTTCAATTTGGTTTTTTGATTAAATTCTATTTCTGATGTAAATTTATTTGTTATGTATCCGAGACATTATGGGACAATTAATTAAAGTTTGAGGACGAGCGAATGAAGTTTAAATGCTCGATGGATATGGCTCGTAAATTGAGGTAATACTTTACTACCCATTGCATGTTGTATGGTACAAGTTAGGTATTGGTTAATGCATAAATAAATATGATTTGGGCTTGGAATAAATATTAATTATTTTATACCTATATTGATCCCGATAAAATGTCGAAAATGCCATTTGAATACAAATATGACATGATTTACCCTTGATAGCAGAAACGGCTTGGAATAAATAAATGACCTTGGATAAACTCTTAAAATACTTTAAACCTAGACATTGAACTGCCTCTAAAGGTCTTGGAACATGACCCAAGCTCGTCGTTCTCTCTAGATACAATTGTAATATAGAAATAAATAATATCATTGGTATACATGTTTGTCTCCTCAAGATTCGTTCTAATGGTCGCATGATGGTGACTAGTTCAATTAGTGTAATCAGTATTGAGATGTGAATATTTGGAATGATATCAGTACAAATGATTAGTGAGTACTGCGGTGTTGATATCTGTCCAACCTTATTTGACCCAAAACCTTGTTAATTCGATATAAATCTCGAATAAGACAAATTATCATTAAATTATTAAGTATTTTTTCAAGACCAAAATGACAAAAATAACCCTATAAAGTAAAATTACAAAAATGCCCTTACATTGCAAAAAGACCAAGATTACCCCTAAAAAGTGAAAAAAACTTTAAACAGATATATCCGACCAAATTACCAGAAAAGATACATATGTTTGGATTGATCAGAATTACTGAAATGTCATCGAGCTTCGAAATAACTAAAATAACCTCTAATGTTCAAATGACCAAAATATCCTGAACTCTAAAAGAACCAATATACCTTGAAGTCTAAGATGATTGAATTAACCTCGACTGTTAAAGCGACCCGTTTTTCTAACGACTTAAAATAAGTGGATATCTTTGGTAGATTCTTAGAATCGCTGATAAATCTAAGTGTTATATCGCCATTTGAGGTGAATCGCGACCCAAGTATGTCGGCCGTTATGGATATTACTGCATCATAAATAAATTAAACATCACTGAAATATTTGTTTGTCATGTGAAGATCTGGTCGATGTTGATTATAAAGGAGGTTCGTTCAACTAGTACAATCAGTATTGGGGAGGGAATACATGTTCGTCTCCCTAAGATCCATTCAACGATGATTCTGAAGATGATCAGTTTGACTAGTGATGTCAATATTAAAGTGTGAATATCCTTGAAGTGCATCGATTTGACTGGTTGGCAGATATCACAATGATAGGATTTGTTCAGTTCGAGTTGATTCGATATCCTGATAAATCGACATGAATCTTAAATGCCATGAATCATCGTTTCACCCTTATTAGAATAAATTACTAAAAATTCTCCAAGAACCAAATGTCCAAATTGCCCTCGATTTCCTGAATAATTGAATCACTCATGTCATATTTGAAATCTTAAGTACTCTGATGCAAAAGATTCTGAATACTCCTGACTACTTAGTGCCTTAAAAAATATCCGAATACTATATGATCTTGATAAATTACTTCTCGAATGATGATGAATCTGTTAGCTATCAAACCCCTTTTTATAGGGATCTTGATTCTAAAATCCTATCAATTTACAAAAGTTTCATGGTTCTCTACCTGATAAATACCAAGTACCTCTAGAAAAATAATTGGATCCTCTAGTGTGTTCCCTATATGCTATATGATTATCTTACCTGTCCTGAAATGTGATTTACCGAAGATATTGTTTTATCGAATCTTTTAACTGTTCGATATTCTGACTTATTGATGTATTGAATTACTCTTTATGAACTATGGCTACATAAAATGTGCTCTCTGGTTACCTGTTTTCAGTGGAAAATATGATCGTTCCTGATTTATGGTCATGGAATCTTTTGGTTACTACTTGAACTGTTTTATTGGGACACTATCTAGGTAGACTGGAGTATGGAGGTTCAGCTCTAATCAAGTAGGTAATTCCTTACGAACCTAAGGTATTCCTTGGGTAGGCTCTAAGGCCCCAAGGCACTCCCTTAGTATGGGGACTGTATTATGGTGAATGGATCGAGTGCATTCATGTGATTTAAATAACTACATTTCATTCTGACAACATTCTACTAGATACTGTATGGGTAGGATTCTGGAGTATGGAGGTTCAGCTCTGATCAAGATGATAATTCCTTACGGACCTAAGGAGACCCTTGGGTAGCCCCATAGGCCCCAAGGTACTCCATTAGGGTGGCTTCTTTGTTGTGTGCTTAGGGTAAGTCCTTATGGATATAGTTCTGGGAAAATTGCATATAGGTGTCCGGTTGGAGTGTATTACTGTGGTTTTTAAAATATGTTTTAAACTACTAACCGTTTTAAAGAATCTATATACATTACTCTGTTTTGTTGGAACACACTAGACATCCTATTCTAATCTCTTGAACTTGGTCCTCTGAACGTGTCCTCTTAACTGAAATCTTCATATCTTTTATTTGAAGAAATATCAATAGAACCTCAGCTCATCCCGAAAACCTATAGACTTCTGAATTAATAAGGAAAATTTTATGTTTTTCCACTTATCTGCATGTCATTCAGCATCACTTGGTAGTTCTGTATTACTGAGCTTCCCAAAGCTCACTCTTTTACTCTCCATTTCATGTTATAAGGTTTGATCTAGTGCAGCTATCGACATCTATAGTGGGAGTTCTTTTGGCTTGGGTTGAAGAGTACGGTACAAGTGTAATTAGAGGGCATGTAGACCATATTTGATTTTTATACTGAGTATGAAACTTGTATGATTTTAATTCTGCTTGGGATATATGATTGGTTTTCTGAACTTGTATTTTAATTATAAATTGTTTTATGATTTTACGCATTTTAACAGAAATTTTATTTTTTCCTAGACTTTTACTGTGGGTCGCTTTGGTGACCCTAATATGACATCTCAGACCGGATCGGGTCACCTATATCGGTATGAGGGTGTTACAGAGCACGCGCAAACACACATATATTTATTCGATTAGCTATTAGTAGAACAAACAAAATACATACCAAGAAAACAACAGCTCGGGGAAAGTACCGGCAAATATGATCACCTATATTCTTTGCCACAATTCCTAGTTCTGCATCAGCAAACCTCTCGTTTGCATGGAAATAACCCACAATTCCCGAGACCTTGGACCCATAATGTTCCTCTATCTGATCAAAACCAAACAATCAAAACACTTCAAATTGCAAATAGATTAGCCCAAAAGGATCTTTTCTTCCTTTTTTTTAAGGAAAAAATACTTGACCAAAACAACAGAAAAAATTAACAACACAAATGAATCCTTGATCCAAGCCTAATAATTAAACCATCATAAACCTCTGATTTTTCAAACTAAGTTTTCCAAGAAAGAATTTATTAGAAGAATAAGAAAAATATATAAATATATTTAACCCTAAAAAAGTGTATTGATACCATGATGAAGGCGATCTCAAGAGGAGGCAACAGGGAAAGATTAGAGTGAAATAGAGGGACTGATTCGATGATCTCAACGACGCTTTCATTTTGCGGGTTGACTCGGCCAAGTAAAACGCCGTTGACCGCCGTGGTTTTGTGCTTCAGAGCATGTAGAACCAACTTTATGTAAGCGTTCTGTAAGATCTCGTACTTCAACTCGGCCACCATTTCTGTTTTTTCTTTAATTGCTTAGACTAACTGAGTCGCCGATTTTTTTGACTGCCGGCAATTGAACAAGAAGAATAGACAGAAATGTGAAAGAGGAGCTTAACGCCAACAACTCGGCGGTTTAATTACATAAATTCTTGAAAAGATTTCCTATGCCAAAATTATAAATTGAAAAATACGGATCTCAAATACATCTATCCATCTTTGTATATAATATGAATTTTAGTCTAATGTTATCTAAATTTTGATTTTTAATAAAAATTATTCAAACATTAATTTTGTGTAATTATATAATTAATATTTTTATTTTAATTTAATTGAACACATATTACTTAATCTCAAAATTTTGAACGCGCATTATTATTATTATATATAGTCCATTCATTATATAAAATGATCAGAAAATTTAATTAATAATTTTTAAATAAAAATTACATTTTTAATACATGATCTTTGTTATATTTTTCAAATAATCCTCAAAATATAAACTCAATTTTAGGCTTCATGGTACAAAAAATTATTTTTCATAAAAACTTTTAATTCAAATAATTACGTGTATACATTATAATAGATAAAATAAATTTAAAACAAATACTACTTTTTATTTGCTACTTGCGTAATTTATTATTTCAATTCTAATTTAGACTAAAAATTACCCCTTGAATTATGCACTTTGTACAGAGTTGGCCCATAAAGTAATTTTCAGATTTTTGTTTCGTTTTAAAACTTTCTCAAGTCCAAGTAACATCCTGATGCCATGTTTTTGTTCTCACTGTTGAACACTGATTTTGAATGAGGGTGTTGACGTTAAACCAAATGAAGGGGGGCAAAACGAATCATTAAATTATAATCGATATATTGATCCAACTCAAAATTTGTAACAAAAGAAAACTGATATAATCAGAGCCTCGAAACTTATTTTGTCGGTCTAATCCAAGTCGTCTCCGAGGTGTTCACGTTTACGTAATAGATCTGTTTCGAAGCTTCATCTCGATATGCCTGCAGAATGGATAAAAATCAGATCCAGAAATTCGATTAGCAAAATGAGAACACAGAATTAGCCATGTGTTGATAACTACTTGAGAAAGAAAATCCGTTTTGATCCTACAATGTTGAAGCCACTTGGGAGGTGTTTCAACTGATCATGCAAAACAAATAACCGAAACTATAAAAGCAATACTCATTTACCTGCCATCCGGCAGGTAGACCTCTCGAGAGTTCATCTAAATCGGGTTGTTGGTTTCCATCAGGAAGTGCCTCTGAGGAAGCCTCCGGTGATTCTTTGGCCTTTTGTGCTCTTCGCCGCTTTACTTTTTCACGCCTATTGTTCATTATCAAGAAGAAAGAAAGCATATCACCGGAAAGTAAAAGGCCAAAACCGGTTAAAAAGAAAAACAGTACAAGAAAACTTATTTGTACATATGGGAAAGATCTATATAATACATAAGCACATAAAAGACGCAGGAGTACTAACACAAGTAAAAAAAAGAGTAGCTTATGCAAATTTTATATACATACCAATCACCACCCAAAGGCTGAAAATTTGCATTATATTTAGCCTCTCCACTGGCAAGTTGCTGAGCATAACATTCCTGAAATCAAAGAAGATAGTAAGTCACAGGGACGCTTTGAAAATGAATAAACAATTATTTAATATAGGTTCATTTTAGAGACCGCTATTTCTTGTTTTCGCTTTTGTTCTAATATCTCGTTCGCATTTTCAGGCTCATCTTTTGCATCCTCTTGCAACTCCTCTTTGACAGCTTTCCACTGATAAAACAAAAGCGTTAATTCTACTCATTTTAAAAAAAAACACTAGAACTATCAAGAACGAGAGAAAAAAATCTCCAGAGTAACAGGAAATTATCTATACCTTATCCACCAAAGAGGAGACCTTCTTATTAGACCTCAAGGATGATGTGACAGCAACCGTCTTCTTTTTGGTTCGTGCAGCTGAAAAACAAAGGATATTGTATCATAATCAATTTCAGTAAACATGTCACGACCATCGGCAAGTTTAACATGTCATAAATGAAGTTGCTAGTCAAATACACTTTCTAGGGATCAACCGACCAATCACTGATAACCCAAAATTATACCTTTAGATTGAGCCTTCGGAGCTGATGATGAAGTCACAGAGGCCATGGATGCGGCAGCAGCAGCAGAACTTTCTTTAACAGAAACAGTTGCAGGAGCTACAATAGCGGCAAAGGTAGAAGAGCTCCCCACTGATGCTACCTCAGTCTTCTCATTAACAGTAGGATCATCTGCACGCAGACCAGGTTCTGCTAATGCAATATCACCACCAGGTCCAACTTGATTTGAAGCAATAGTATTGGAACTGATAGTACCCATTTCACTATGCAACTGAAAAGATTCAGTACCACTGGCTATAGGCACAGAAGACGCCCTTCTACCTTGAAGATCATAAAATATTACAGGTTCAACAGAGTTAACAGAAACTGATACACTTTCAGAGTATGTGTTTGGAACGGCTTGAAAGTATAGTGATGCTTTGGCTACAGCAATTTGAGATCCATCAGCGTGTCCATAGAAGCCACCAATGGGGATTTGATTAACTGCATGTCCATAATACTGATAACCAGGATCAGAATAGGTTAGGTTGTATTGTTCTGCATAAGTGAGAGGTGTATGAGATGGGGGAAGAGGATATTCAGGAGGCTCATCAGGTGGTGGTGGAGGAACTTGTTCAATATTAGGAGGAGGTGGTGGAATTTGTTCAGTATCAGGAGGTGGAGGAATCCACTCCTCATTTGGAGGTGGCGGAACAGCTGAGTAATCAGCAGAAGGCTTTAGTTGCTCTAGAATGTTGGGGGGCACATCTCTGAGCACCACTGTGCTAGGTGGCATTGCATCTTCAACTTCCATGTCCACATCCATATCATCCTCCTCTTGGTCATTGACTCCAGTCTTAGAAATTTCTTCATCATCAAGTTCACAATGTTCAGTAGGTGAACCAAAAGAAGAAACATGTACCATGTGGGCAGCATTGATGGAGGGTACTTGATTATTTACATCACTAAAGCCAACTGTTAATGCAGCACCATTAATAGAAAGCTGAGAAGTGTTGAGAGCAGAGGCACTTTTATTGAGGGCTCCATCTGCTTCAACTTCGTTGCATTTAACTTCCTTTATATTGAGCTTTTCTTCAAAAGAGTTGGGAGCTTCTTCAGCCTCTTCCATAATAGCCGAATTTGCAAGCTGGTAAATTTTATCGTTAATAACACCTTCAAGCCATTTAAGCTGCCTTTCACAGTGTGTCCAAAACGGTGTTAAAGATGATTCATATGAAAGCAATGATTTGATATCAGAAAGTCTAATCTCAACTTCTAAAATACATTTAGACATCCAGCCCTGACCTTGCAGATTGTCTTCGGAACTGAAAATATTTTCATGTTAGAAACACAAATAACAACAAAAACTAAAGAAATTCTGGTCTTCTACATTAAACAAAAGAAATATAAAAAAATATATTGGCTGGAAATAATAGAAAATAAATGGATAGTAGATGAATGAAGGCAACTAGATATTCCTTACACTTTCAGTGACTTCAGTCTCTCAAGTAAACACTCCCCTTGTCTTAGAAGATGAATGGGGAGATCGGTCTCTGTTTCATCATCATCATTAGCAAGAACATCATGTGTAGAGTTTCCAGAGTGATCTAAACTCCCACCAGACAAACAAGTATCAACAGCATCTAAGCTACTTTGAAAATCACTTCTACTGACATCAGAGATTTTATCCTTCAAAACTTTGTTTTTGCATCCTCCGGCTCCGACCGGCTCATCTAACTCAGGCTCATTGTCATAAACATTGCTCTGAAGAATCACATTGTCAGCAATTGATTGGGCACTTACAGTTGAATTCAAATCATGTGCATCCACTTGAGCCACCTCCATATCTTCAGCACTAGGTGCTTTCAGGTGAGAAGTTGATTGGTTTAAATTATTCAAAACAGCAGGCAGCTCCCATGAAGTTTCACCAGTTTCAGTGTTCCAGTAGTAATACTGATTACTCTCTTCATCCATTACAATCCTCCAGCCTGAACCCACATTTTGAGTAACCTGTACTTCAGAAGTTCCAGCAAAAGAATCTTGTTTGATAGAATCATTCTCGACTGATTCATTTGTGACATAACCATCTCCTTCGTTATCAATGCCTACCAAGTTCAGGACAGAGTTCAAAGTAGAATCTTCCTCTGTTTTCTGTTGATTGACCTTTAGAGTATCAAGGCTTTCACCTGCATCAACTTCTGTATCTTTGCAGGTCTCACTTAGGGGACCCTTACCCTAACAAAAGTAAGCAATGAGAATGTGAATGAAAACCACATGCCATTTCAATTTAGCAAGTTACTAATCTAACCCACAATGCTCCCACATTATCCAGATAAATGAGTAAAATTCAGTTACAAATCGTAGATTTACATAATAGAAAGAATAACTCGGACTGCAGCCAGCACAACAAGATAACCTCATATCCAGGCCAAAGATTCACACCTAGGCCTACTACAAAACATAATTTCAGAAAAAACAATGAGGGAATCCAAAATCACCTGGTCATCATGGTCAGAAAAGGAACCATCCAAAGTTCCATGCTCTTGTTTTGTATTCGATTCCTCATCCAGCTCATCATCACTATACTGGCCAAGTAATAGCAAAGGATTTGGTGGTTGTTGACCTGAAGACACGACATTAATATGTTAAATTTTTAAACTACAATTTATATTTAATGATTGTCACTGCATCTAAACCTTAAAAATAGGCTGAGAAAACATTCGTTTAGGATAGGTCAGCTAGGTAACAGCTTCCATAAACGAAAATATAAATAAAAGGCTGGACAAAGTCCATATGATAAATTTTATAGATGCATTAGGAGCATTATGTGAGCAATTCTTGATGGCCACCTGTTACAAATAAAAGAAAGATGTCAGTGGAGGTATGATGGAAATAAAGCCAAGAGACATACGAACCGAGATAAAATGTTTCAGAAGCAATCTGCAAACAACTTGGATGCAGCGAAACAGAGCATAACAGATTGGGACTCGTTCAAAATATCACATTGATCGGGCCCAATCAGTTCCGTATGAGTGTTCCCAAGACCACAGCTGACACCCTACAATCTGAAAACATATTCTGGGGCAAACAACATATATCTCTGGCATAAACTCCAATTTCCACCAAAATAAGGAAGAGCACTCATGCTCTCTACATAGTCCTTTTGAAGAAATCTGACGGAACCCACCTGGAGAAGATGGTGATTTGGGCAACCCAGCAAGACGTTTCGGTTCCCCATCAATTTCTTCTTGTACTGAGGAGCCACCCAAATCTTCTAGAAGTTACAATAAATGAAACCGAAAGTTACAACATACTCAGTTTATATCTTTATTCACTTTTTAATAGCTCTAATGTAACTTCTTCAACTTATAGCTGGTTGCTAATTTACGGGAAAAATATTGAAAGCATAGACTTTCTCAACTACCAAAAACAATAAAGGGAGACAAACAAAATTACCAGAGGGTTCCGCGAAGAGATCGAGCTTAACACGGCGGCCGGCGTTGTTCATAGCAGCTAAACGACGTTCCTTTCTCTTCCCCATGGATTTGATTGTGAATTCTGATTCAAAGATAACAGATTTTGTATATAAAAATAAAAAATTACTAGGGTTTCTTCTTTGATCTGGAGAAATTAATTTGGGGATTTTCCTTTTGTCCTCTTAAAGCTTCTTTGATATTTTGAATCCTAAAGGCATTATGACTTCAATGAAAAGGAGGCGTCGCGGGTTTTATCTTGCTCCCGCATCCCTGTTTCCTTAAATTGATATACGGCGCCGTCTCCTTCAAATTTCCTTGCATCTATATCTATAAGCTATGCGTATCTACCTTTCTCCTGCAATAAAATTATAGGTAAACCATATAAATAATCATCATGATATAATATTTTTAAAGAATTATTTTTACATTAATAAAATAATAACGCATTATATCATCTTATTAAAGTGAAATTTTTTAAAATATGAGAAAACCTGTATATACAAATTGTGAGAATTAACTTGGACCTCCAAAAGTAAGTATTTAATGTTTAACCTCTAAATTAAGGTAAAGAGATTATATATTTTTTACAAAAATAATATAATAGGTAAATTATTGTGAAAACATATTTGAAAATAATAATACAAACTTTCTAACATCAATTATACATGAATTAAAAATATAATTATAATAATATATTAATTATAAATAAGTTATAAAATATTATAAAAATATATTTACAATACATATTTCTTTTATTTTAAAAACAAAATATTATTAATCCTTGTTTTTCTCATTTTATTATGTAGTTGTTAGTCTTTCTTTTCTTTTCTTCTTTTGTAATCCTCAACGATACTAATTTTAGGGTCCGTTTATTTCACAGAAAATATTTTACATAAAATGAATTACATTTTTTGAAAAATAATTTCTGGAAAACGTTTTACTATGTTTGCAATATGTTGTTTAAACCATTTTTTTCTCTAGTTTATGATTTTTTTTAAAATTATTTATTACAAATATTAAATACAATAAATAATATTATTTATCATAAAACTTAATATTATTCTTTATAAATATTAAAATAATTTACTTATTATTAAAATATTTTTTTAAAATTTTATTAATAAAAATATTAATATTGGTATATTTTATTGAAATAAAAATATTATAAATTATATTAATTATAAATAAAAGTAATAGTATTATATTATATTTTAAAAATATTAATTAGTATATTTTAAATATATTTATTAAAATATTATTAGATTATTATATTAATATTAAATATATAAATAATAATATTCATTATTAATAATTTAATAACATTATTTCTATGAAATTAATAAATAATATAAATTTTATTAATAGTTTATTATATATTATTAAAATAAAAATATAATATCTTATATTATTATAATATAATTGATTATTTTATTATAATATAATTGATTATTTTATTATAATATTAAACATATTATATTATATTATTAGAAATATTAATAAATATATTTTAAATTTTAAATTTTTAATAATTAATATTTTGATTAAAATGATATTAGAATATTTTATTAATATTAAATTCATAAAATAAAATTATTTTTAGTATTTATTCTTTCAAGTATAAAGTTCGGAAAATGACTTACGGAAAATCAGACCGTAAGTCATTTTCCAGAAAACACAAAAGAAATTCTGTTGACCAGGAAAATGTTTTACGTTGACCAACCAGTTTTCCTTCAACCAAACACTGGAAAATGAGGAAAACATTTTCCGAAAAACATTTTACGTGAAACAAACGGACCCTAAATACTAACTTGCAACCATTGTTTCGAAACTCTTCTTGTAATATTGAAACGCCTAAAACATGTTTGAAAATATAAATCGTTGGAGGCACAAAAGTATTGATATTGGCACATGTGTTTTGGAAACTCACAGACGGGCATCGAAACTCTTGAATGTTGGGAAAGCTTCTCTTGATGTTCTTGAGCTACTATGCGGTCCTTTTTATATACTCTAAGTAATTTCTAGTCGTTTGGAGAAGTTGGAGGTAGCTTCTAGCCATTTTAAGCATGAAATTTGTGATTTAAATACTCAATTGCAACCATAGTTTTGAAACTCTTCTTGGAGAATCGAAACTCCTAAAACATGTTTGAAAAATATCAATCGTTAGAGGCCCAGAGTATAGATACTAGAACATGAGCTTTGGAATTTCACATACGGGTATCAAAATCTAACATTGGTTTTCGAAACTCTTAAGCACTATGGAATGGAAGTTCTAAAACCAGTGTAAGAGTTTTGAAACACTTAGGAGAAGTTTTAAAACTTCACACTTAGTTTTGAAATCTAAGGCTCAAGTTTTCACATTTTAGGGTGTTTTTGGCTCTTTAAAAAATTTTAAGTTGGATATTTAAGCCGAAACACAAAGAAAATATTTTTGACATAATTCTTCTTTACAAAATTGATTTGAATAATTTTTGCAAAAATTTCATAGCAAATTTGCAATTTCTACAAGCATTCTTATTTGCTTGCTTCTGAAATATATACGAAGTAGATTGTTATTTTTTTAGAACGATAAAATCAGTTAATTGATGAGGGAAAAAAGATATTAAATACAATATTTTGGTTCAAGTAACTGTAGATTAACATTTTGGACTAAAAATTCAGTTTTCTAAACATACAGGGACTAAAATGTCCCTTTGAATAATAGAGAGACAAAAAAAATGATGGAGTAAAAGAGCTTCTAATAGAGTTTAGCTTGAAATACACATATGAGTATTAAAACTAATAATATTTTGATGATGTAACAAGTGGGTTTGTAACTGATATTAATGTGATGAATGCAAATATGAAATAACATGTGGTTGAAGTTGTTGATGGTGTAACCATGAAGAGAATGGCATTGGCAGAGATTGATTATCTCCAATGAAACTGCTTTATGCAAGAATCGCCTTTAAAACCAAAGCTGTTTATTTCCAGAAGCAGCTTACCTTAAAATCATTTCTACGCTCAATATGCTTGTCCCCTTAGTTTTAGAATCATTTCTTTAAGTCACCATGATACCTTAAAATTGGGGGTTGAATTATCAAATTTATGTGTCACGAGGGCAGTCCGACCTTGTTACCAACTGTTACATTAGTCACTGGTACAAAATTATTGCTAAAAATCTCATTCGATTTATCACTTCAACCAATAAATTTTATCGACAATTCATATAGACACTTTTCGTGCCACTATAACAACTAGTGTTGCACATGTATTTAAGCCTTCCATGTACCATATCATATACCATATCATACCACATATAGGTGAATAAAAAATAGTGGACACAATTTAAAGCAAATGTTGGAAATTTATCGAAAAAAGTTCGCGATGCTAATTGTTCAGAAATGACCGATCATACATCTCTAGAACGTACAAACTTTTAATTAACACAAAGAACATCGACAATAATTACACGAGAACCCATAATAGGGGATTAACCAACTCCTATGTTTTTAAATAGAATAAGGTTTGTGCAAACCCGCACTCGAACCGTACACTTACGAAAACAATAAGCAAGTAACAACAACCGCTTCAATGCACGACCACCACCAACGAATCTTGAGCTTCAAGAACACATCAGAACGCATAAATAACAACAAAATTGGCTGGAAGTTAAACTTAAATCATGCATCAAAAAAGACGCCAAATTTCACTACAAAACACGACGAATCCACATTTCGTATCGATGATTTCTTAACTTAACTGACACATTTTATACCATCAAGACCGACACCTAAAAGCGCTATTAATATCATCAAGAATTTCTAATCTCAACCCTAAATCACCATATTAAACATATAAAGTTCCTTAATTCTATCGAGACCTAATTTTCAGAATTTCAAGAACAAAACCGCAATATGATACAAAAATCGGTATGAAATCCTTTATACCTGTAGCCCACATATTTTACACTTAAACGAAAACAATGTAGTTAAAATTCAACGTTAGTTATGATTTCGTTGAACTAAATTAAATCCAATATATTATTCTTAATTATTAAAATAAGGTATATAAAACATATATATTTTGTAATTAAAAAAAGAATTTAACTACATAATCACAAAAAGGAATAATGCTTTTGGAGCGTCAATTTTGGTCCTCGTTCCAAAATATTCCTCAACTTTAAATTCAAAATTCAAAATATTTTAATCCTCAATTTTCCTTTCTAAAATATTTTTCTGAATTAATATTGAAAACACGTTTTCCCCCAGAAATCGATATGCTATTCGATAACTATATTTATATCGATAAGTACCAAGCCAAAACCCAAGATGTTTCAAGTTTTTATATGTAAGTTCGATGTTTCGATATACTTGAGTATGTAAAAAAATTGTGTAGAATTGATATATAAGAGTTATGTTGTGATTTTGTATGCGTTTTTATGTTAAAAGTGTAGTTGGTTTGATTTATGGTGTTTGAATGTGTTGACAGTAGTTTTCGTCCGAGTGACGTTTATATACGTCTACATATATAATATTCTATTATTAATATTATTATTTACAAAGCCCGAAGGCCCGTTACAAAGTAAGACACACATGCCCAAGTGACAAGCTCAGTTACAACCCAACTCGGGCTAGGTCCAGATTTGGGTTACAATTGATTCAGGCCCAATTTCAGTAGGCCTGCGAGAAGCCCATCAGTAGGTAGGGTTTCCACCAACTGTTTCAGTGCCGTCGTTCCTCCACAGCCGTTCGATCAGAGGTAGATCCAAGAACCAGAAACGAACCAGCAGGAACCCTAGGGTATCATTACCACCCTAGGGCCTATTCCGGTCACCGCATCCACTGCTCTAACCAGACGCTGCCACGACGATTGTCGGCTCTTCAGAGTTATCCCGAAGGTTCCAGAAGATCAACGAGAACCGCACAACACACTAGTCTATGGTGAATCACCACCATAGGTTCGGTGACTCACCAGATTTCCTCATTATTACAGAGGATCTCTGAGGGATATAAATAGCCTAACCCTGCAAGGAAACAAGAAAAAGCAATAGGGAAACAGAGACCAAAAGTATCCAAAAACACACACAATAAAAAAGAAGAGTCTGAGAAGCTTACTCAACCGTAGAAGCTTAATCATCGTCAGAACCACCGTGAAATTGAAGGTAAATCCTGTGGTATTTTTTAGATCTAGGACAATCTAAAGACTTTTAGGAAGATTAGAGGTCGGATTTGGGAC